CCGCCGCCCGCACCGGCCGCGCCTTTTATACCCACCTTAAGGCCCGCCCCTTTGTGAGCAACTCATTGGACGGTTCAAACAGGAGCCCGGCTTCCTATTGGTCCGAAGCCCGCCACTCCCTTCTTTGGCCCGCCTCCCTCTCTATTCCACGCCTCCTTGCCTCATTCATGAAGCCTCATTGGTGAAGGAATACGTCTGCTCGGCGGTGATTGGCCTCGCCGGGACGCTGGGGCCCTTTGTTGTTGATTGGCGGAGAAGGTGTCGCTCATACCAGACCGCGCTCCCATTGGCTTCGGCGCGCATGAGGCGAGACAAAAGTGCCGGGGGCGTTTCCCCCGCGAGGGGCTGAGGGGGCCCTGAGGGCGACAGGGCGGGCGGCTGCTGCCCCAGCCCATCCCCGGGCCCTGCAACCGGGCACCAGCGCAGGCACCGCCTCAGGAACACGGGGGCCACCCGCACCCAGCGAGGAGACCCTTCCCCGAGCCACCTCCCCAAAGCTGTGGCCGTGCCCAGAGGTGACACAGAGGTGGCCACAGAGCACAGCCAGGGGCCTTGGTTTGCCAGGCAGCAGGTTGCTGCTGGGGCAGGCCGCAATGTGGCCCCACACGGGGCACCTCAAGCACCAGCATTGCCCAACACCACAGGAACAGCCTGTGAAAACACCCCATGTTGTCACAGCAGGGGCCGTGGGACGCGCCTTCTGTCACCTTGAAACAGAGCACTGCGGTGCGATAAGATAACCTGCAACAAACAACAGCCTTGCTTGGGCAGGAGGTTCATCCCTTCAGGGCCTTTTCCTAGGGAATCAGGTCACAGGCAACATTGGTCTTAATAACAACTAGTTAGTGGACAGTAGAGCACCGATTATTTCCTCCCCCGCAAAAAAAGGCAGGTAGAGTCCCATACAGATGACAACTTTTGCCGTGGTGGTGTCTTAAAGGTGTGATGTGGTAGACTTGTTTGCTATGGACACATCCACTAAGTGTTAGCACAAAGCTAGCATATTACATAGGCCGATAGTCAACGTTTGGTAAATTATGTGCATCAAAGCTACCTTTGACTTGGTAACTGAGGAGCATCCTGAGCTACTGGTGTCTTTCAGCACTAAGTGTTAGCACAAAGCTAACATATTACATAGGCCGATAGTCAACATTTGGTAAATTATGTGCAAAGCTACCTTTGACTTGGTAACTGAAGAGCATCCTGAGCTACTGGTGTCTTTCAGGCACACAGATGCTACTGCACCTCCATGGTTTTACTACTGGGCTAAGGAACCCGGCGCTCCCACTGAAAACGCTATTCCAATTATGTTATTAGTACTGGTATTGCAATTAGTAGCTGCATGAAGTGGGGAGGAAGGGAAAGAACGCCTTTCTGTCCATCCTAGTCCCCATTCTCCCCTTTGCGCCTGTAATATCAAACCATTTTCCTCTAGAAAATAGTTAATTCTGTGCCTGGAAAGCTATTCATATCCTTGCACGACCTCAACTGAGGTGAATGTCTGAATTAGCACTAGCCCTAATATTAACATGATTCAGGAAAGAGTTTAATTACTAACAGTGTACAAATACTGGACATATAAAAAACATCTTGTTAAAGGGGAAAAAAAAAAGAAAAACACACCACACTATTTAGATCCTCGGGGAATTCTGTCACATCAAATCTTTTTAAAGGTAGATTAAAAGGAAGTTTTAAGCAACATGACACTACTGTTTTAATTCTAGCATCCCTTGGGCTTGGGCATTAAGAAGTCAAATGACACCTACTTGCATACAGGTAAGCAGCTACTCTCTTGGGAACTTTCAAGAGTATTTTCTCCTCTAAATGCTTTTTATTCAGATCCACAGCATTTGACTGAAGTTTGAACACTGTTCCACCCTTGAGATACACAGAGCAATTTCTTCCCCAAAATGAAGAAAACCTTTTTCCTTCTTACAAAGCTAGCTCTGAAATGCAGCTTTAGGACTCTAAAGCCTTAGCATTTCCTAGGGAATTTATGGATCTCTGAGGTACTGAGATGGTCCTGACAGCAGGATAATCTTTAAACAAAATCTCCTTTGCCAATTTTTTGCCCATAACAAGATCAAGGGGTTTGTGAAGGTCACCACAGAACTAGGTTCGTGATCCTTCCCAGCGTGATGACGTTTGACCAGAACAACTCTTAGCAGCTGTTTGCAAACCTCAGACACCAAACAATTCCACCTGTTGTTGAAACTCATCCTGCAATGAATGCAAAAAGCATCTGTAAGGCTGGACAACACTCCAGGAAATATCTACCAGGGTTAGGCAAGGGAGGATACCATTGGCATGAGAAAAGGCTCAGCTTGACGATCCTCCCATGACCAAAGGTCTCTTCTTCAGGCCACCAGCCTCTTTG